GTCTGCAGACGCTTAAGGGCCACGACAGTGTTGTTCACTCAGTAGATTTCTCGCACGACTCGACTCGGCTAGCGTCAGCGTCATACGATAGCACTATCAAGATCTGGGATGTGAGCAGCGGGATGTGTCTGCAGACGCTTGTGGGCCATCACGATGCTGCTACCTTAGTGAATTTCTCGCACGACTCGACTCGGCTAGCGTCAGCGTCATACGATAGCACTGTCAAGATCTGGGATGTGAGCAGCGGGAAGTGTCTACATACCCTTGACGTTGGCATAATTCTTTCATATCTGTCTTTCGATTCTACGGATACTTCACTACATACAGAAATAGGCACTATCACTATCTCTAATTTCCAGATTACAGACCGCATCGACGCTATAGCATCAAAACTTCAGTACCAGGGTGCTAGTATAAGTTCAGATGGCAACTGGGTTATATGCGCTGGTAGTAACGTGTTGTGGATACCCTCTGAGTATCGACCGTCAAGCTCGGCTGTGAGTGAGACCCAAGTAGGCATAGGAGTAGGATCAGGAAGGGTCTGGCTTTGTCAGGTGACTTAGGCAAGTAACGGTAGATCAATAGAGGGCCTCTCTTAACCTATGTATCTCTATATTTGTCAAAACTGTTACGGCTATCCAATCCTTGTTGTATATATAATAGAGACCTTGAGAAGTCTATGCTTGATTAACTTCCGAGTATAGCCACTACGCGCTTAAGCGGTGGCTGGACGATGCCTCTTAAGCCTTGCGCCACAGCTTGAGCCGTTTTGGCATAGCGCAGGTGTATATTGCAGGACGCTAATTGTTCGAAACCTGCTATGTCAGCACGTGAAGTTATCTTGCTAAACGCGAAGAACTGGCACACCGAGCCGGAAAAACTCGGAGCGCACCTAATCAGAGGCTGCACATCTTTATTAAATAGCTGTTGGTTCTTTATATTGTAAAAAACTGTATAGAGCATCCGAATAAGCGAGCAGCGCTTCTATGAATGACAGAACAGGGGCGTGCTGTTGTTGCAGCTTCAACGCTCAACACGAAAGATTCATGCACGCCCCTTAGATTGCTGTAATTTTGCTGTTTAAGGCCTGCAATAGATACAGGCAGATCTCAAGATTATGTAAATGCATACTTAAATACAAGAGCCTCTACAGCTCAGGCGTAAGGTGCTTGAACAGTTATGGTGGTTCGTTGCGGAGGGATATTCGACCCATAGGGATGGACGTTATTTCTAAGGCAATATCCAGCGCCTTCCTAGTTAGGCCTAGTGCCAAGACTTAATACCCAGTGCATCGCGCACGGGCCTCTAGTCAATATCCACTGACAATTGTAAATCCTAATAGTCTTAGACGCTCAGTAATCAGTAAATCCTAGCAAGACTGAGCAGATTGCACGAAGCACTCGTATATAGCAATAAACAATGAACTCTTATGATTCATTGTGTTCAACTCAACAAAGCCTGAATTCTGATACCTTCACAATGCTCTAACTGCGGTCTGCGCGCCACCCTCAATCTTCTTATGTCTTCTGCCGCCTACACGCATGCCAGACTCTATAGCATAAGGATGGCGAAGATGAGCAAGGCAAGAAAGGGTTTTTGTGACGATTGTTCGGCTATTTACAGCTTGAAGTCTAAGTTATTCCTATCTGCTGAGCGGTCACTGCTGCTAGAGTAGCAACCTTCTTGGGTGCGAAGATGCGCTAACACGATGTCAGGATTGTACGGCATTATGCCTGTACGGCGCCAGCCTGAGCAGATTGTAGATTTTGTAAACGTNAAGCACCGGATCTCCTCTATTGTAGCCATAAAGTCGGCCTTGTTGATATCACGCGAGCCTGTACGAGAGGCNTACTCAAGCGTCTTGCCGTGATACCACTTGAGCGGTTGAAAGCAACCTACATCTAGAGGCTGGAGGAGGTGGGTTGTATGAGGTGGGAGGGCAAAGAGCTGTATCTTGTTGTCTTCAGCAAGCTGACGAAACTGCTTTGTATAGTGAGATCTATACCCATCTATTAGTAATAAGTGCTAAGCTCTATAACAAGTTGTGGATAAAGACCGTACGCCCGTTTTTAGTGTATAAGTACTGCTCTTTTGTAACACCAATGCGGCAGCCTGTCTCATGCACATTATCTTCAGGCAAGATACCGCGCTCGTCGATAAGGTCTTTAAGCCTAGTATACCAGTCAAGAAGCGCTGCTGGCTTCTGGGCAAGCTTACGCTGTACCTCAATTGACTTTGCCTTTACACGTCTATATTTNGGGTGCCTTGCGAGCCATCGCCGTGCCCAAAGCTTACTAACCTTAGGCGCAATTTCATCTAGTCCTGTATACGCATCTTCAAGGAGCGAGTTCGCCTGTTGCTCAACCAGTCCATAATGAATACCAAAGCCAATATTGTCGATAGCATCAAGATACCGCTCAAGAGCAAGATCTTGAGACTCGTTAAGCCGGTATAAAGCAGGTGGCTTAGCGCGATCACAGCGATTCAGAAGTCCAAGATAGGCGCGTCGCAGGCGCTAATATGGCAAGTTATGGGTAGCTGCATAGCTTTTAATGTCAGGTCGATAGAGTAGGCGTAACGCTTCAGCGTGCTTTTGTAATGCCACCATCTCTTCTTTATATATAGACTGTCTCTTGTTAACCTTAGGCATAGTAAAAACAATATATATAGTTTAGTTTATTTAATTATGCGTTGTTGTAGTAGATGTCTGTACTAAAAGCTACGTGTTATCATTGAGGTGATCATTATCGTTGAGGTGATAGTACTCTAGGCCCATGCAGAGCACGGGCAATTTCATTGAAATCTTGCTACAGCAGCCGTTGGGCCCGAGTAAGTATTTCGTTCTGATTTTAGCTTCTCTATAGATGCCTCGAGCACAGCTCTTACCTAACCTAGTTATGAATACACACACATCACGTACAGATGTGTGTGTTACACTTTGTTCCTTCTTTTGTAAGCTAGGGGAGGACTTCGAAAACTTTAGAGATGTGCGTGAACTATTTCCTTTTCCTATGCCTTGTCGCCTGTGAGCTTTAACTCAACGCATAGGTATAATTTATATTTAGTCTTTGTTTGTATCCAGGTTATTTACTTTATCTTCCTATCATTTAATTAGCCGTAGGTAAAATATTATTTGACTAGTGTCCTTAAGTTATGTAGATTAATTAACTAGAAAGATCAAGATTTGAATAAAATGACATTAGCGTAGCGCGTTACCGATGAGGCTTAATCCGATTCGATTCTATTAGAATACTGATTTGACTTAGAGTAGGCGATGATAATAACGGCAAAGTAACAAAAAATCAAGATAGTAAGGATACTTCAATGTTATAACTACAATACGGGCGCATGGGCTTACTAGTAACCTCATGCTAAGCTCTAGTTTTCCCAGCTCGATCTCTATAGAGAGGAGCCCTAGGCAGAGGTCCTTGAAGGCGGAGATCGATTTTCAGACAGTTTTCAATCGCATAAGTAAATGGTAGTAATCAGGCAATCATCCCATCTTTGACCTTTATCGCTTCTCTCTGATCGATTCCCTGAACATCTCTAGGATTTGGATCAATTAGTAAATGAGTATTGTAGGCCGACACATAACACACCCATGCAGGTCAGATATCGCGGACTAGGGAAAAGGTATGAAAGCACACGAAAAATGCGCTCTATTATTCGTCTACTAGTTACAAACTATAAGATTGATATGCGTATCTTAGAAAATGGGCTTGAAAGAAAATAGCGAGCGGAAAAAATATTAAATAGGGTTGAAGTTTGCGCATGAGTATTAGAATTAGTGAACACTTGGGCTAAGTGATCTCACCGAAGCATCATTTGCCAAATTAAAGCATATAGAGTAATTTCCAGCGTCTGTAATTATGAATACAAGATTCTACCTCGAAACAGCTAGAGAGAAAGCGTCCTATGAAGTCTTTAACGACGCTTTCTTTCTACATTGAATCGCTATGTACACCTTTCTCGGCTTGTTGAACCAATAGTTCCGCGTTTCCCACTCGCTTCTTGGATCTGAAAGTTGAAGTTCAAAAGAGCGAAGAAGCTGTGGAATCACTTTATACATTTCGCAAAGCGAGATCTATCGCTTCAATCAGCATGTCTCCAACAATATTCTGAGCACATGGAAGCTTACATTCTTTCCAATGCACGTTCTGGCGCCCCCGCCAAACTAGCACATGCGTTAGAAAAGAATCAAGCCATTGCTGGAAACGAGAAAACATACTTGGAACATATAACGCTCCATCTTGGCTGCATCAGCCCTGAACCACCGCTCAGGCACGAAATCATCCGCATCATGACCAAAGATACCTCGATCTCGCTGTACAACCGCAGCGTTAACACCAACGTGCGACCCCTCAGGAAGCCATTCTCCAGCAATGATGCAGCCGCCCCGAGGCACGCGACGAGGTAGCGTCATGCTCACACTCGGATGAAGCCTCATCCCCTCTTTGCAGCAAGCTATGAGGTATGGAAGTCTTACTGCCTCGTGGTATTGAACATCTAAACTCAGCAGACCAGCTTGATCAGCTTGATCGATCTCGGCAGTGAGTTTCGCGTAGGCAGAAGGTGTGCGCATAAGATGATAAAGAATAGCTGTGATAGCTGTAGCAGTTGTATCGGAGCCTGCAATACTATATAGAGTTAGCACTCCCTTCTTCACAGAGCATGCATGGTCTCGCTAGCCGGAAGGATAACTTACAAAGCCCCGTACGCCTCCATTTTCACCTCGGTAATACCAAAATCTTTTTGTTGCCCTTTCTCAAGTACGATATCAAAAAAACTCTGCAACATGTCTTTACAATCTTTAGCTTCGCCGTTCGCAATGAGGTTTTGTCGCTCCATAACACATGCTTTGGATGCAGCTTCAATATGCTGTAGAGCCTTCAGTGCTTTGAGAGTTCGGGGTATCGCGGCGCCACCGACGAATATTAGCGGACGCAAGTAGGCGGGCGAAACGCAAGTCACGGCAATGAAGGGAATGAGACAATCCAAAGCATTGATGTAACTACCGTAGTCGTGCCCGCCGTGTAAGAAGCCAAACATGCGACTAAAGAATAATTCACCAATTACGTCGAACGCATACCTGTTTATGCGGTAAGTTCTCAGCAATCTAACACTCCACACATGTACTTACCATTGTACCCATTCCGATAAATCGACCATGGAGCCTTTTATAGCGCAATCTGTAAACTTGGCAACGAGGAGTTGCACGCATTTGTCGACCTTCTTCTCTAGCTTCAGAATCTTTGACATTGAGTAGAGTGAATTGACAATTCTGCGTCTCTCAGCATGCTGGCGCTCATCCAGATCAGTAAAAGCATCTGGGTATCTGCCCCAGGTCGCTCGGAAGGGAAGGTAAAAGTCAGTCTATAGCATTTAGCACCGTCACTATAGCATAGGATATCAGTAAAGTGTTTACTTTAGTAAACCCGGAATAAGATGAATATATAGTTCGGATAGCTTCGGGGTCTGCTATAGCGACCTCATTTGGGGCAATTCGAACAATCGGTCCTATGAAAGTTAGTTAGGAATAGTACACAATAACTAGATGATTGTCACCTACCATAACACTTATGCAGACGTCGTTGTGTCTTCTCAGAACTCCCACGAGCCACATCGATGATGAGCCAGAGAGTCGTAATAGAGGCGAAGAATGGCCCTGGGTATTTGGCTAATGGATGAAGGTACCTAGCAAAAATAATCCAAGCCAAAAAACATAAAAGGAAGGCGGCTAAGATTAGTCCCAGCATCGCGTAATTGAAGGCGATGTACTTTCTTGCTAGGAATATAGTAGAAAGGTCGGAAATTGAAAGCACCAAGGCAATGTATTTTGAGCAAGCAAACAGCAAGGCAATCCTTTAACGGCACCAACTAAGCAGCAAGCCGGGTGAATAGGTCTTCTTTAACTATTCAGCTGTTCCTTTTGTATAGAAATCTCTGAAAAGAGTTATAGCCTAAACAAGGCCTCTTGAGGGCACGTACCTGATCGCCACCTTAATCATACATGATAAATCTCTCCAAAAACCGCTTCTCGGTGTGAGTCTCTTGCGTGCAGATCCAGTCTTTTGATGATGATAGAAAGACGGCCTCTATTTTAAATCAATAACGTGAGTACTTCGTCTAAGCAATCGAACTTGGTAACGTTATGTATCATGGTGCAGCAATTTTTAAGCCTATAAAACCCTTTACATTATAATAAAAACGGTTGTATTTACGTATCTTCATGCGTGCTACATATGGTACTGGAGCAGAGCGAAGCTGAGTGGGTAAGAGGTTTCGGCGGAGTGCATGCGCTGGAACCGCACAGAAACGACGGACAAGTGGCGCAAATTCATTTCAGAAAAAATTAGATAGTGAAAACATACTACACACACACACAATTTATTTACGCCCGGCGGCCGAGCCGAAAGGGCTGCTAACGCTAGTCTAGCTTTACACTTCCTATGCTCAATCTTNGTCTCCCTAGCCCATATGTCTTCTTTGGCCCACTTCTTTATATAGCTTATCGTCTAATTCTAAGCCCTTACTTAATAC